GATTTCTCAATGAAGGGTCGCAGGTGTCATTTTTATTAAATGAATTGTAATGCATTACAAAGTTTCCCAAATCAAACAATTTTATGTTTTCACTTTCAAAACAGATCTGCATGATTCTCCCTACGTAGATCATGGTTAATTGCGTCGTTATGCTATATATACAACGGATTACAGCAGACTCATAGATATCCCCAATTACTTTCCAATGAGACCTTGATGAATTCAGTTGCGAAGAATCGCAAGGTGGTTAGAACCTTTAGGCATTTTAATAGTGCTAAAACTGCAAAAACACTTTATTGTAACCTGTTTGCCTGTAAATATTGCTATTATTCTACTGCCTTTAGTTGGCTATCAAGAAACTCAGATGTATTCAAAAGGAAAAGATCTTCCACTTTACGATACAAACGTCCTTCTAATGATAAAGTTTACGGCACCCCTCATCTTGGGATCAAACGTACGCCAAGTAATCAAAATCCTTTTTTGTTTATTATGTATGTTCTTTTTCTTTTCCTATTGCTTTTGTAATTTTCCGATTTACCTTACTTTACTTTGACCTTAATAAAATATCAACATTTTATCGATGGCTCTAACAACTTGAAAATATTCGTCGCTCAGTTAGCGATTTGTCGATTAGCTTACGAAAACAGTTAATGAAGTGTTTAATATTAAATTATAATATTAAATAACGAATATAGTTGAAACTTTTAACGATCCGAAAATCGTATATTACTATAGAAATTCCCCCACAGTTACTACATTTTTTCATAGAGGCGACATCTTTCTTTAAGGACTGGAAACCGGCTCAAGGCGAAGAAACTCCAACTAGCCCGACATAAAACTGAAGCAGTACTAAGCACAAGTAGAAAAAATATAGAAAAGGCTGACCAAGCCATATCAAATGACGTAAAATAAATCAGTCGGCGCATATATGGGGAACAGCACTGCAAAATAAAACATATGCCAAGAAACCAAAACCTCCGACTATATTGAATCTAATCAAAATAGCAAGAGTATTTCGCACGGTAACTCACGAGGTGTGTGGGGTCATAGCAGGCATCATATATTACATAAATGTTATGGAACTAAAAGAATCTGCTGCAAATCCAGAGTCATTGGAAGACGATACACAAAAGAATAGAGAAATGAACAACGGGTGAACAATATTAATGAGTGCAAGCATGAGTTGTTATCCATGGAAATTTTTGATAGAAAACGCTGCTTTAGAAAATATATTCTCTACATATATATATGAAGATGGCAGAACAGATGGATCCAGTAAATGCGGACCGCCCGAGATACGAGAGATAGAGAGAGCGTATACAGGGACGGTTACAGAAGAGCATGTATTACCACAAATAAAGTGTAGAATAAAATGAAAATGTGGTCCACAATAACTCTTCAAGGATTGAGTAGAAAGAAACAACAACGCAGTACCGTAAATAGAAGAGCCAACGAAGAATGGACCGGAAAGATATCATGAAGATATAAAGAGCCAATTCGGCCGAACTTGGTCCTTGCGAAGATATTGTTATTGTTACGCAAGTCAAGCATAATAAAAAAATACTTTCTGGTCGACGTCCCAAAAGAGGTTTACTTTTAGCGTGCAGTATGAATCATGAAAAAAGCTTCTACTTTCTTGTGAACAATATTGTTTGCCCATTTGCTTTTTAATACAATATTAATATATTTTAACAATCTAGAAAATATAAAAAAATCAAGTCGCGGATGAAAATAAATGAAAACAAAATGAATCGAATAACATATCGCGGATATTTCATATAGAATAGAGCTTATTTATCTTTGAATACTTGTGTGAGGCTAGCAAAATATAAAAATATATGTGTACACACGTAAAATATGACGACTGCCTTGATGTTTTTTATGATTTTTCTTTATTTCATATCAGAAGTATGCTGTGGAGGCGCAGCCGCTTTTAGCATTTCAATAATCTTGGTCTGATGAGGCACCCTAGTCTTCTTCAATTAGAAGAGGTAGCAGTACACCGAAAGTTACAGCAGTAAATACAGCGAGTACCGGACAAAGGTACCCAAGAAGTTAATACAGTACTCTCATCCTTGAAAGCTGCCATGGGTACCTACCAAAGTACATTGGCAGAGAAAAAGTCTCTAAATCAAGAGAGCCAGTACCAGTGGCAAGTTTAAAATTTGTGGTAAGATAGTCAAGTATTGGGCAGCCAGCGCCTCACTTAGTGAAGGAAAGAAGAAGCGGCTACAACAAATCGTGGACAACTACGAAAAATTTCTGAAGAAAAAACAATCAGAGCCATCCAAAGTTAGCATTCAGAGTGGATGCCAGAAGAAGAACCGCTCCAGTCGAGATATAACAGAAGCTTGGTCCAAATCAAATCAGATAACTATAACAGCAAGGCACCAACTCTACTTCACCTGCTAGCATGCAAGAGATGAACGTAGGACATAGGGCTTGGCACTAAGCTGCGTACTCGACTACCAGAGGGATCTTCACCCTGAGATTGACTATTTGGTGTCACTTGAGAGATATAGAGTCATCAAATGCGCAGGCCAGGCTTTTATTGGCCTATAATTGAAGCTGCTACCTGCACTGGATATCGCAAGGAGACCTCGTGCGCGCATCTGCCTGCCACATTCGCAAAGAACGTTTCAGCAGTTTCGTCAGTTGTTTAAACTTACTTCGAAACTAACCTGCCAAATGAAGGCTATCCACGACCTGTCGACCAATGACAAGCCAGAAAATGCCGATGGCGACCTGGAATGTCTGGTCGCCAAATTGGTAAGATGCCCCTGTCCTGTTAATTTGAAGGCTGATAACATCGCCGTCCCAGAAGTACGATGGATGCGATAAGGGAAGAAGATCGGTCCTTGTGAGATCTACTACATCTGCCATATACAGAAGCGCAAGTTTAGTTTTGGTTTTTATCACTGGCATTCGCTCCGGTGAATTAATGTGTAAGCAAAATCCGTAACAAAGTTTGTATTTGGAGTCCCTTCGAAACTTATACGGCTGAGAAAATTGACAATACTCGAAGACCAGTCGAATTGGAAAGGACCTCTCCGAGGTTTCATACAAAGTGGCGTTTTAACGTGTGATTGCTTAAATTTGATGTTTGGAAAATTAACAAAAGCTGCAGAGCTAAACACACCAGATGCAAGGTCGATGAAAACACTTCAGCTTTAAAAGTATTCTATGCAGTATCCACTGTTGGAAGCAGTGAAAGATGAAGACCTCCAGTCCTTGGGAGGGATCAGGTGAAGAGCGACCTGATATCACAAGGTATTTCCTACTGGTGCCAAATAGGTAAGAGAAGATACATACGAATGGTGTTTTTTGTTGGTTTGTTTATAATCGGTGCCTACGCCAATGAAGTCGAAAACAACGTAGTTCGGTTTATAATTTTATTTTCTTTTGTAAGCGGAAGCATAGTCTGCGTCGCTGAACTTTTCGTCTCCATTAAATGTTCTGCTGTAGGTTTTCAACAGCTTTGAGAAAGTTTCACTCCCAAACTGGCTTTGTAACCGCAGTTTATACTAAGCCGCATCCGAGCCGCTAATGAATTTTATGAGGGGCTTTTATTTTCGCAATTGAAAATTAAAAATTTTATGTTCAGCAATTGCATGCAATTGTCCCAAGCAAATGTCCGTAATCTGAATCAAATATAGTTTCTAGCAACTTCTACCAGCTTGCATAAACTTCTACACATGGCCCCGTCCACAAAATTTATTATCTGCTTGCAGATTAATAAAGATTATAATAGGCATATAGGAGGAGTTGACCTTATGGATATGGAAGTTGAAAGTGGACAACTCAGTTGTTCCACCAGTCCATTTTTAAAAATATAATTTATGATTCACTGATTTTAAGTTGAAAATAGCCGATGCACTATTTTTATATAAATTCAAAGAAACTTCTAATCGTGGACGCCCAAGCTTCAAGCCAAATTCAACTGCACTACATCCAAGGGCTTTCAGTTTGCTCAGGACAGCCGGCTGAAAAAACTACTTTTATAACTACCACCATTTCTAAAAATGTAGATTTCATATTTAATTTGTTTTTCTTTATACTGAATTTTATTATGTAACACTCTGAAATCCAATAAAAAATTTTTTATCTATTCACACTGAAGATTTTTAAAGGTTTTTCTCATTGAAATAACTGATTTTCATACTTTTATTGCAAAGGAAAGTATTACGGGAATACCAACCATATGCACAAAAATCTTTTCTGGCCACTCCCAGATGAGTGGCAGTCAAAAACTTGATCCGCTTGTGTGAACTTCGTGAAGTCCGATATTAACAAGTCAGTCCCTAGTCCACTTCCTGGAAAGAAGTGAAGCCTTTCTGTTAACCTATGCAAAAAGCTACCTCTCTACCGAGTTTCCAGTAAATCTTGCCACAAATAAACTTTTTTCGTTAGGTCAGTCCCGAACTCACTACCCGGAGTTATTTTTCTTTAACACCTTTTCAGGAACCATAGAAACAATCTGATAAAATTTTAAATCAATTGGTCGAGAATTTTTTGAAATTCCTGTATTTTTCCACACGGGCATAAGGTTTTTATATAGTATATAAAGGAGATATGAACACCTCAGCGTCTTCAGATAAATTTTTCAGTCTCATCACCGATTCATATGTATCCATAACGATTTGTACAGCTGTATGATTTTGACCATACATGCTTCAATTGGAGAGCCGAAATAAAATTAGCATTCTAGAAACATATCAGGGAGACTTGCAGTGCTATATGCGATTTACTGCTATCACGGCTTCAAAAACTCATGTTAAACGCTAATATGTAAGCACTTAAAATTAAGTGTGCATCAACGGAAGCAATAAAGCTGGGATTATGAAACTCATATATAAGTGTACAATATGTAGGTGTATGTGCTTATTAGATTTTAATTTATAAATATGTACATTAACGAGTACACAATGGTGATAAGAAATGGTTTTACTTATTCATCTTTATCAGTATATTTCTTCTTACAATAGTTTACTAAACACATGGATGTACGAGTTTTGTCAGTTTCACTTGATACAACTGTAAAGCAAAACGTGTTTAAATTTCATAATGGTAGAAGCAATTTCCAATGGGTGGTTTAGTGAAATACAAAACGACTTATGGCCAGGACAAGCATTTTCTTTGAAAATTAAGCAAGTTGTCCATGAGGAAAAATCTAAATACCAGGATATAAAAGTTATTGAAACGTGAGTATATTCAAAGACTAATTTTGATCGTTTGATTGCCGGAATGATAAAAGTTGAAATATTTTAATAATATCTCATTTGCTTATGTTTAATGTAGAACTACGGCTGAGAAAAATGTATATTTTATTTTGACATACCTGGATGCAAATATTATTCCCTAACGATTTTATAGCTGAATGATTGACCTTTTCTAAAATATTAAAAAATGCAAATAAATCGAAACAGTAAATCGGTTTTTGTAGGAGAAATTTTTTTTAATACCATCCAATTTTCCATAATTTTTGAATCCTATTTTTGTATTAGATGCACAGAATTTTTCAAATAGTATAATATACATATATTATTTGTATCGATGTATTTGCGGTTAAGAGATAGTGGTGTTGTGATCGCAGTGTAGTGGTATGTATATGTATACTAGCAAGCTCTTCCACGATTTGCTTTTTATTTCGTTACTGAGCTGTTAATTTAGCCCTAAAAATAATGATGAATTGACAAGATACTCAAAAAGCGAAATAGTGAAGATCATTTGTTCATCTATAGGAATGAAGTGCCAAAAGTCCCCATCGGCTTCACGTGTGCCGCAAAAGTTATACTGCTTTGGATTTCGTGGCCGAAATTATTGTTGGTTTTCAAGCTCACTCAATTCATTGTGTAGCGCGGAGAAGGCAGAACTGTTTGAATTGTTCATCAGATATGCGCTGGGCTTATCCCTCGGCATCTAAAATATTAGTCCAATAAAGAAAGCAAGAAATGCAACCGCTATAAATTCAACAGCACCTTTGCTTTGATTTATTTTTCCGCTGTATACATATGTATGTACTTATATACTTATTCTTTATACATACATATGTACAAGAATTTAGCTGACGAATATTCGCAGGAACTATTTCTGTACTTAAATTACACCAATTTTACGAAGAAAGTATTCCAAATATTAATGTAGTATTTCAATTATATTCAGGAAAAATCTATTGGCGCATTCGCTAAGTCTATGAAAATGCCTGCTATGCGAATATGTCTTAGGACAATTAGTCAGAGAACGATAACAACCGCGTTCCACGATTTTTCAAGTTAACTTGAATGCACATAGTATCCGATCTTAATGAAAAATATGTACATATACGCAACTGTAAGTTTTTAAATTATTCGATTTTGACCAACCAACAGAGTGTTACATATAAAATTCAGTACAAAGAAAAACAAATTAAATATGAAATTTACATTTTTAGAAATGGTGGTAGTTATAAAAGTAGTTTTTTCAGCTGGCTGTCCTGGGATGTCAGCTTGGATGTAGTGCAGTTGAATTTGGCTTTAAACTTGGACTAGTCTTTATTAATATTTATCTTATCTCTGATAAATATCTTTAATAATCTGCAAGCAGGTAATAAGTTTTGTGGATGAGGTCATGTGTAGAAGTTCACGCAAGTTAGAAATGTTTTTGACTGCCTTTTATCTGGGAGTGGCCAGAAACGACTCATTTGCATATGACTTAAGCAGCTCACGACCTCCTGTGTTAGACCACGTATCCCTTAACATCCGTTTGAAAGCAAGCTAAAATGAGAAGGCGAATCCCATGCTGTTGTTCGTAAGGATTGGTAGTATCGGCTGAAAGGCCCTTTTGACGACGACCCCCGCAAATGTTTTAAGGATTACAATTTTAGAGTATACACCAACTTTTTGATGCCCTCATACAATTATAGGCTTACATCGACGCGTTCCAAGAAATTTGGCCGATAAGAATAAAACTCGAAAATTCTACGAAAAGATACGGCGACTTACGGAAGGTTTCAAGACCGAAGCAAACTCTTGTAGAACCTAGTGAGCTAGTGACGGATGCCCAGAGTACACTGAATTTATGAAGGGATCGCTTTTCCAGACTTCTGAATGGCTCTGAAAATGACGAAAATGACACGTCTGGGGATGGTGAACCCGGAACTCCAATTGATGAAGATGGAAGAGTTGTTCCGTTACCCTAATATAAAGAAGTCCGAATAGCAATCACCCGCTTAAAAAAAACAAAGTGGCAGAGACCGATGGATTACCGGTCGTGCGATTCAAAGGCTGCGGTGGAGAACTAATCAGGTCTATAAACTTCTTTGCAAAATATGGTCGAATGAAAGCATGCCCCACGATTGGACCCTAAGTGTGCTCAGCCCAATCCACAAAAAAAAAAAAACTTAAAAAAGGCTATCCCACAGTCTGCGCCAATTCCAATTGATAAGCCTCCTTAACATCGCATATAAAGTACTATCGAACCTATTGTATGAAAGGCTAAAGCCCACCGTCAACAAACTGATTGGAGCTTATCAGTTTGGCTTCAGACCTGATAAGTAAACCATTGAACAGATATTCATCATGCGGAAATCTTGGAAAACTTTTCGTCTATTTTAAAACACCATTTTTCAGCACGACAAGGAGCTGTGTCTACGCCGCTATGTCTGAACTAGATATCCCTATAAAACTTATACGGCAATGTAAACTGACCTTGAGCAACCTTGACCTTTCCAAATTTTTCGATACCAAACGAGGTCTCAGACAGGGTGGTTCTCTGTCGTGTGATTTATTCAGTTTGATACTGGAGAGGGTAATAACAGCTGCAGAGCTGAATAGAGAATGCACGATCTTCCATAGCAGGGTACAGCTGCTGGTGTACGACGATGATATCGGCATTATTGGCCTCAACAACCACGTCGAGAGTTCTGCTTTCTCCAAACTTGATAAAGAAGCGAAGCGAATGGGTCTGGTGGTGAACGAGGGCAAGACGAAATATCTCATGTCATCAAACAAACAGTCATCGCATTCGTGACTTGGCTCACACATCACTGTTGACAGTCATAGTTTTGAAGTCGTAGATAATTTCGTCTATCTAGGAACCAGCATCAACACCAACAATAATGTCAGCCTGGAAATCTAACATAGAATCACTCTTGCCAACAGGTGCTACTTTGAACTGAGTAGGCAACTGAAAAGTAAAGTCCTCTCCCAGCGATGGAAAACCAAACTCTACAAGTCCCTCAGCGTTCTCGTCCTGCTATATGGTGCGGAAGCATGGACGATGACACATCGGGGCCGGGGGCGATTCGGATCATTGGAATTGGGTTTTTATCTTGATTATTGATATCATCTGCCATATTTTTCCATTCGCTTAATTTTTTTTATTTTAATTAAGTTTTCTATAAGTTTTTGGATGTTAGTACGACCCTGGGATGAATTTGCGTAAATCAAATATGCATATCAAAAGCAAAGGTGTAATTCAGTCCACCCTATTATAGAGGTACTGCAACTTCAACGATTGTAGGAGTAAATAGCACCAAATCTGGTATGATGTTACCAATAATGATAATTTATTCGCAAGACTATCATCTTCCTGAAATGGAACCTGGTGATATAATTTTTTTAAAAACAGGGGATTTAGTGTTTTCGCAGATTCCTTGAAATTCTAAAGGAAATGAATTGCAATCATTTTTAGTGTTATATAGAACACTATAAGGACACGTATTGTAAGTATAATCAATATTCACCGGATCATTATCATCTGTAATTAAATCCAGAAATGTTTCAAAGACCTAACTGCATTTCTATAAGCTTCTTGTTGCCAATAACTTCATTTGGAATAGTCTCAGGGGTGTCGGCACAAATTTTCAGCCATCGCTAATCAATCATTAAAACAGTTGAAGCGCAAATTTACAGAATATTAAGCAGGCTAAGACTAATTTTCTCACTGTATCTTTAAAGATACAACTACTAAACTTGATCATGTGATACAGAGGGGGCGCAAAATCAATACAATGGGCATAATATCGTTAGAAAATATATTTTACCATGATTACATATTCTTTACGAGCTTCCAAACGCCTTATGGAGACGAATGTTCTACCCTGTTAATTTGACTTTAGTTATTTTTTCAAAAAAAAATGATCTTTACTTTTCTGAAGAAATATTTTTGTGATAACAATAAATTTGGGAAAAATTAAAACTAAACTGACATGGTAAAGTTTTCTTTGTGATGATGTATAATTTTTCGTTTTTGAACAATAAGTAATGAAATGGGGATATATTTGATGATACCCTGAGTATTTAAGGGTTAAACAACAACCTTTAGCTAACGTAAAGTTGTTTATAACCCCTTGCAAGCTGGGGGAGAGATATAATATTTATGTGCATGGTTTTGATTGCAAGATAATTTTCCTCTATGCTATTTTTGGCATCTGTTTTGTTAATGTGCCATAGTTCAGGTATGCAAATCGCATGCATTTCCTACACTAAGCGAATACCTATTAAATTTTATGTATAGCTTTTACTTCAAGTCAAAAAAAACTTTCGGAAGGTTTGTCATTTCATGTCAAGAGTGTCTGCAATTATAAAAATATGAGTAGATGAAATATACAGCAAATCAAATCTTTCCCTAGTATGGAAGAAAACTCAATGTGTACGTGTATATGATTCAACGCAAAACGATACTTATCTACAAAATTTCGAATAAATCGAACCATAATTAAATTCAATAAATGTAAATAAAAAATAGGTTTTGATTTTCATGTTATTGTTAAAAGTATGGAATGCTTGTAGGAATCAATTTGTAAAGCATATAAAATCCCATGATGAAATAACAACCAGGTGTAGTAAGTAAACAGCGGTGTTTCGTGTGCTTGGCTCAATTTATGGTCAGTAAGCGTGCTATTCGCAACATCATCACCCATTTTGATGCCTGAAACTGAAGCTCGTAATCTCAGCGACATTTGGTTTCAACAAGACGGCGCAACTTCTTATTGAGAGAACACTTCGGTGATCACTTGATTTCACGTTTTGGGCCCATCGATTGGCCACATCGTTAGACTTTTTCCTAAGGAAATATGTAAAGTCTGAGGAATATGCGTACAATCTTGCTTCGATTCAGGCCCTGGATCAAAGCTTCACACGTCTCATTCGCCCGTTACCAGTCGAAATGCTCCAACGAGTCGGTCGAAAATTTGACTCAACGGATTAACCCTCTGAGACGAAGCCGCGGCCAGTATTTGAAAGAGATAATCTTCAAAAAATAAACGTTCTTTCGATAATAAACATTACCCATTAAATTAAAATTTTTTCTTTAAAAATTAGATACAAAATTTTGCAAATTTTTTGAAGTCATTCAAGAGTTTCTTTTTGAAAAAAAATAAAATTAAAAACTTTTAAATTATATTACTGTTGTTTAATTTTTTTGACACTCTTCGTCTTGCCAACTATTTTTTCAAAACACAAGGAAATGGTCTCTATTGCAATTGTAATGTTTTAATATCCAGGCCTTATAAACCTTTTATTCTTGCTACTCTTGCCAATTGCTTACTGTTACTTATGTTTCTTTAGGACTTAGTAGCCATTTGCAACAAAACCGCAATGATAGCTGTTTGCCTCGTGACATGGATATGGATATAAATATTTGCTTTAAGTGGGTAATCATCAAATGAAAATAAATCAAATAATACTACTTTTGTTATCAAATAAATCACATTATTGTCATGGCGTCATGGGTTCGGACCTTGGCGAATATACGGAATTAAAGAAAATTAATTTGAAAACTTAAATAATTTAATAAAAATGTGTTTCTTGTTGGGGTCGTCCCTGGGCAGGCAACCAGAGAACTTGAAATAACGAGAAGGTGCAACTGACTTTTTGTTCGATGCTCGATTGAAATTTATTTATTTATCTCCAATAGTCGTAGTAATTAAAATAATCAATTTCATATGTTATTTATATGTATTCATTATAGAATTATTTTATTTCAGCGCTACATTTGGAACATGCTTAATTTTAGATGGAATCATTCAATGTACAACTCGGGATGAGTTTTCATACCAGGAAATGATATCATTCATCTCTTTAAATAGCCATCCGAATCCTAGGAAAGTACTTATAGTTGGTGGAGGTGATGGAGGTGTTGCACGAGAAGTGGCAAAGCATCCATTGGTTGAAGAAGTCCATCAAGTAGAAATTGATGAAAGAGTAGTAGAACTTTCGAAAAAATTTTTGCCAAATATGGCAACTGGATTTCAAAATCCAAAAGTTAAACTCACTATTGGTGATGGATTCGCTTATATGAAAAAGCATGTCAATGAGTTCGATGTGATAATAACAGACAGTTCAGACCCAGTTGGCCCCGCACAAACTTTGTTTGAAGAAAGTTATTATGGGCTTATGAAAAACGCTTTGAGGCCAGGAGGAATCGTGGGTTCCCAAGGAGGCAGTTATTGGGTGGACTGTGATTATTTGAAAAAAACTATGGATGGCTGCAGAAAACATTTTCCAACAGTTTCGTATGCACATACAAACACTCCTTCCTACCCATGTGGTCATATAGGCTTCGTTATTGGATCTCTTGATAAAAATAAAAATTTTAAAACACCATTAACTAACTTCAGTGAAGCTGAATTGAATGATATGAATCTGAAATATTACTCAAGAGACATGCATTCAGCAGCATTTGCTTTACCACGATGGGTAGAAGCAAAACTTTCATCAAATAATTAATAAATGAAAGTTATTTTTAAGATTTATTCTATGAATTTTTAAGTATAATAAAGAAGTTATGAAGGATTCAATAACGGTGTGATTAATTTAGTTTCGGCTATGAACAGGTTTGGTTAAGGAAATAAGCCGCATTTGTTTTAAAATATTGTTCGTGCATCATGTGATTTTTGTACAAATATATATTTACAATTCAATCCACCGGTCAAGCCAATTAGAAAATAGGAAAGTAAAGAAATAAATTAATAGCAATATCTTTAATTTTCATAAAATTTATACTATCATTGTCCAAGTAACGTTGAATTAGGTCCGGGAATCGCTTAATCAGGAGGGGGTAGATTTCCTGTGTCAGGTTCGAAAATCACATGAAATAAATTTAGCTGAAAAATTGAAAACATGCTTCTAAAGAACGTTGGACTGAAAAGTTAAAAATATTTTTTTTTTAAATAAGCTAAAAACATTAATGAATTATATCACAAAGCGGTCGTTATATATAAGGGTCACCAGGCTTTGTAGTTATAGCTCGAATTAGCTCGCCGAATGGAAAGCTTTTTCCAATAACCCCGTCGTGAACCAAATTTTATTTGCATGGGCTTATGCATATTGCTGTTATGAAAGGAATACTTCGACATGAAGTTAGATTGGGTAAGGATTAGACGTATATAAAAGAAAAAAAAAGGAACAAAGTCGGTCTAGTCTACGCTCACATCATCCTCATCTGGTCGGTAGTGCGTAGACTACCACGTCATCCTCATATAGCAATCCAAAAATTACTAAGCCTTATTATTATATTTATATACAAATTTAAAAAAAAAAACAATAAAATAAACCCTTAAATCACAATAATTTACCTTCCTTCTTTCTTTAAATAAATAACTTGCGAAAAGTTTGCTTGATTTTATAAATTCTCAAGGCTGTTCATTCACAAAGGTTGCGTTTCAGCGTTTCGTAATCCTCTCCTCCACTTTACCTAGCTTAGGAGATATCTTCGAGGTAGATACCTCTACTCTACTCGCAATCCTGCTCTCTGAGAGCACTCATCAGCAACTTGATATATGGGACTGTGGCAAACTAATGGTTTGCGGAAAGGTTGTAAAAAAATCTGGTACATGTTTCAGAGGTCGCCGTAATAGCTCATCAGATATTCCAAATTCAGCGCAACTCGGCAAATTCGCTCCAGCTAAGTTTCTACCAGGGATTACACCGAGACACTTAACGGAGAGGAATTATAAATAGCTCGTTAAAGATGGTGCGTTGATTTGACGAACTATCGAGTTTTTAGTAAAGACATAGATCTTAGATTTTTACTGGTCAACTTTAAGTCCATATCTCTCAGCCCAATCAGCTGCGATTTTAAATAACATCTCTACTATCCGCGATAGTCCGTCAGAATGTTTACTAGAAGAAAGAATGGCAAGATATTCCTCATACGCTCTCCGCTGTGAAAATTTGTTGTAACTGGTTTATCGCGTTGACCCACAATAGTGGAGGCACGTGTGGTTTTGTGAATGATTTTACCTCCTGCTTCACATACCGCCCCTCTTTTGCTAAAAATATGGTACAAGTAAGCTTTGTTAATACCAAATGAGGCAATTGACAAGACCAATGTGGTAGTGTTTAAATTGTTAAAAGGGCAATAAATACCGCAAAAGTGTACTTTCGTTTATATAAAGAATTTTCAATTGTCCCGAGTGAGGAGGATTAAGGGCTCATGGTATTATGTGGCGGAAAATGAGTATTTATTAAAATTTTTATTGAGTCTTTAAGTTTTTTTAAGTTCTCTGGCTCTAGTTTTTTTGTGGCAAAGCAATAATTTACATTTGATGCATACCTTTAGGCTCAATTATAGGTATGGTTGAATGTGCTATTATTATTTTTCGCCACTACTATATTCAACTGTTAACTATTTATTTGAGTATTGATAACAAAAAAAAAGAGAGAGATAGAGAGTTTAGCATAAGGAAAAACGTTATTGACGACAACAGAAGTAAAACCAATAGAAATGAAAATCAAATGATTCATTAATTTTTTTCTTTTTCATATGGTGTTTTGCTATTATTTAGTTAAAAAAATTAAAAAAAGGAAGTTCTAATATTTAAAACTAATTTTGGAAAATATGCCTAAGCGACAAAAACAGCTGAATAAAAACGTTATCTTCCAAAATAAAGAGGTCATTTGTTTCTCGCAAACTTCTTAGCATGCGCCTTTTTCCACTTTGTTCTTCGTCTTCAATGAATTCCAGGCCTAAAATATCCTACCCAATTTGTTTTTTTATTTTTTCTCAAACTAACAACACAAATTCAAACAGTAGATTTTTTTTGCCTCCTATTTCGCTGGTAACAAATTTACAGGTTGACAGTGAACTCAGAATACGAAATAGTGACAAAATTTACTGAATGGTAAATTTTAATACCAAAAAAAATTTTGTTACCTCGACAAAATAAGCCGGTTAGTTGGAAAGAAAGTTGCAAATTCGTGCGGGTAAAATTTCAGCCAAGAAAATCTGGCCCGTTTGAAAGTTATACGACTGAATGCAAATTTAACTGCCAAAATAAACAGCTGGTATACAAAGCCTAAGCTTAACAATGTATAATTTTCAGGTAAACCTGCCAAGTCGCCTCCGTCGATCGTCTTTTTAACATGAAAAAAACGACTACGAAGCAGTTTCAGTTCAGGGACCGTGGATAGATTCGTGAAACATGGTATTGGGAATAAATTTGCCAACATAATCGAGTCACGAAAACGAATTCAACCGAGCTTCGTTCGAAAAGGAAAATCGACGTGCATGCTATACGCGGAAATCCTGCGCACGGGAGATTTTCCGTTTTGGGAAATATATTTGTAAAATTATAGTTTTCAGTTTATTGTTGTTTCAGATATTCAAATCATATTCAAGATGTGAATTTTGCTTAAATTAATAAAACCGATTTTGAAATAAAATGTGTAATACGAATTGTTCTTTTAAGCGAAGCCGATAAAAAAGAGAACAGAAATTTGAATGGTCATCGGGCAAGATTTTTTTGAGGCCAATCGAGTCGGACTCACCTAGGCCTGAATAAGGCCCATTGTGATGCCGCAAAAACATAACAGCTTCTGCAGCATCTTCTGTACGGAGCCCCCAGTCTTTCTCGTCCTATCAGACAGTGGCCTGTCAGAACTCCAATTACATTAGACATGCCATCTCTTTTTTAGTGGTAAATATCTCATGATCTCTTTGTATCCCATTTCGGTCAGATATGTTTAGTTTTGCGGCGCTTTTTAACCGCTGATGCAATTTTAGGCCGAACTCCTCCACCAATTTGATGTTTTTCCAACAAATGGAGGCATTTACAGTTTATACTAAGCGGCCTTCGAACGGCTGACATTTTTTCATGAGGAGCGTTATTTCATTCCAGAAATGCACAAATGTATGATACAGTACCACAACAGCACTTAACGCCATAAACAATGAGGTAGTCAATAGCCTAAACCAAAACCGAACCTGCGCGCGCACTGTCCTGGTAATACTGGATCTGCTAAAAGCTGTTTGACACCGTCAATCATTCAGTGCTGCTAACGGACGTTGAGGAATCTTCATTAATGCCCGGGTTACAGAGGTGGATCATCGGCTAACTGAGTGGTCGACTATCATCGGTAGTATTCCGAGGTGAAACATCAAAGCTTGGGAAAATTAAACAAAGGGCTCCACATGGTTGTGTCCTCTGCCCTCTAGTGTTTAATTTCTAAATTTCGAAATTTCCTTCTCCACCAGAAGGAGTTTCCATAATCTCGTATGCCGATGATTTCACGATATTGGCGTCTGGCCAGGATATTGATGACATTTCGAAAGTGGCTGCTATCTCACCGACCTTTCCTACTTCTCCACTGCAAGACAGCTAAACCTTTGACTACCCTCTAGACGAAGGAGAACAGGCTCAAATTAAATGTGATGGTTGATGAAGTAAAAATTCCGACACTGTAGCCGGTTAAACTACTACTTATGCAGACTCAACCCCGGCATATCCAACACAAGCCCTGCATGTGGAGAGTCTCCGCACGACTCGAACCTAACCACCTCTTCACAGACTCTCAACTCTCAAGATAGCCGGTTCTACGAACTGCAGTTGAGTTGATCCGGATTTTATCCAGCTAAGGGCTGTCAACCTTTCGGCGACCAAACCCCGTTTAGGTCAACAGGTAACATTAATTGAAGTATGCCAACGGAGCAACAACTCGCAGCTGGGCTGCTTCAAATCCTTCTTATAAGGGCTGGCGTCCGACGGATTATTTCTGCTGTGTGTGCCGTAAAAGACTCCAAAGACTGCAATGGTTGGAGTCATCGTAAGGTCTGCTCATTCCTTAAGACCCTTATGGAGTGCGCCATAAGTTATGTGGCTCCATGCTGCCAACGCCCATTTGCGCCCCCTGGCTTTACGGCAGTGCCTTCAGCACCTTTACTTAGTTTGGGTAACCAACAGACCTCTACGGTCTCACGAAGCTACCCGGAGCATGACTCCCAGCAACGTTCCAATGCCCTACGCACCACTCGTGAGTGGAGTGGTACGTACGTTGCCCCGTGCAGTAGGAAGTTGCCTCCGCCTTTTTCAACAACTTTACCGCCAATTAACTCCGACGCGTGGCATCAACCTCATCGGGTATTACAGCAGCAACACACTCCACCCACCCCCGGCATCACGAAAGTTCCCCCGAGATAAACTCGACTCCTAGAATTTAATTGCAAGGGACTTCAGGGGAAGATCGACGAGATAGTCGACTATATGAGGCGGGAGTACCAGTCAATTGCTGCGATTCAGGAAACGATGTTTACCGCCCGCTCAGATCTTCTGGGCCAGGCCGGATACAACATAATCCACAAGGATGGCAAGAGAGACCATTTTTAGGGCTTAACCTTCATACTACACAGCATCGTGCAGTATCGTTTTATCGACGGCGACATCGACCGCAGGGATACTACCTTAGAATGTCAGGGCGTAGCTATCCGGTCAGGTGATGCTGAGCTCGAGATATTTCCTCCTGTTACAAGTTGCCCAGTTGGATATAGCCCTGATATAGGTGCGCTACTGAGAGGCGAAACGCGTTTGGTTTTGGACGACTTTAACGCGCATCATGATTTTGGCATTCTAGCCTTTCAGACGATCGTAGAGGAATGGAGCTGGCAGAACAGATAAAGGACTCGACATTCTACACCGTTATTGGTAATTGCCGAAGCTCGCCAGAGATAACAACTATGAGTGCTGGTCTGATAAACAGTATAGCCTGGCAACCTGTACTGACCAATACAAATCTCGATTGATAGTACTCCCCACATTGTTTCCAGGGATCACCGGACATTTTTCATCAGTAATATTCCGAGGTGAAACATCGAAAGCCGGAAAAATTATGCAGGGGGCTCCGCAGGGTGGTGTCCTCTCCCCGCTACTGTATAATTTTTACATTTCGAAACTCCTTCCTCCACCAGAAGGAGTTTCCCTAACTTCGTATGCCCATGATTGCACGATAATAGCGTCTGGCCAGGATATTGATGACTGATTCAAAATTCCTAAACAACCCAAAATATTAAGAACAATACTAGATAGCCTGCACTCTTTCACTCCGCTTACGACCGCAATTGCCGCAAAACTCCAGAGCCGCAAAAAAATACTCAAAGCGCTAGCCGGCAGCACCTGGGGTAAAGACAAGGAAACTTTGCTGGCAACTTATAAAGCAATTGGACGGGCGTAAACTATGCTGCATGCTGATCTGGGCGCCGGGGAAGAACGAGACGCAGATGAAGAAGCTACAAGCCTGCCAGAACACCGCCCTCAGGACTGGGGCAAGAAGCCTTCTGATGTCGCCGGGACATATCTTGCACAGTGAGGGATGTATGCTACGAGTTAAGGAGCATAATGCTTTGATGTGCAAGCAATTAGGATGTTACCGTTGGGAACACCCCGATATGCATCTTATCGAAGCTACCTATCCAGTTTCGACCCCAGTATACCGAACGTATGCCCTTCATGTGGAGAGATTCCGCACGACACTAACCACTTTTTCACATGCCCCCTTAAACCGACTCATCTATCCCCCCTATCCCTCTGGTCCAATCAAATCAAAACACGTTCGCTAGACCTCGGTGACTGATTACACTAGTAATTAAGCGGGGTTATCGATCCGCTACAACAACAACCTTATCCCCTTAAACGACTCATCTAACCTTCTTTTCATCCGGTTCGATCCCGTCGAACCTTAATAATGAAAAGTGCAGTTTCGTAAGCGGGGTAAACGCAGTCACAACAACAATAACAACATAGTAATTTCCGAATCTAGATGTTTTCTAATCAGTTTCTTGGCGGTGAGCATCAATCTTTCAAACAACTTGCGCGATAAAACCCTGTATGCTATTTTGAGGAGGCTCGAATAGCTCAAGCAATACACCATCAGTTCCCGCCGCTATTCTTTAAGAAGGTAATTGGGTGATTGGACGCCCATACCACCGTCTTTGATTAGGACTTCGGGCTCGCTATCTCCACATGTTCCTTTTCCACTGCAGTGAAGCAGACTGACTTTGGGCATCAGTCACTAGGAAGCCTCTTTGAGTCCTACATTGGTATACTCATTCTGTTTTCCCACCGTTATGCCAAAGATTCGCTCTATGTTACCATGGCGTTAGAAAAGCCAAATACGATTTTGTAGAAAGCAAAGCAGAAAGTAACTAAAAACCCAGCAGCAAGACATCTCATACGCCAAGTTTTTACATAAAATTCATTTTAGAATAAAGACCTTGGTATGATCTATAATTTCAATACGTTGACCAATTAAAAGTTATTTTTATATTTTTTAAGTTATAAACATTTGTACCAATAATTAATAGTTGACGGCCAATGCCGAGTTGTCAAACATAATGTAATTTTGAGTATACCATAAAATGGTCCAGTCCAGTTTCCTGTTTGTATCTCCACATTATGGGGTATAAATTTTAATATATTATATATTTCTTTCTCCATTATTTGATATGTTTAATATGAAACTATCAAAATTTTGCACATTATTATAATTCTGAATGGACCTATATATATTAAAGTTATACGCTTAGCCTAACTATAAATAATCTTTCATCCGAATTAACACAAACGTTTCATTTCTTGACCATGCTTAAAATTAATTTTATTAACTTTTAATAACATATAACCTAATTATTCAATTGATAGGGGGTTATGCTCTGTAACCTCTTGCGTCGTATTTGGAGATAATTGTAGCATTTGTGAGTCGGTAACTGACGTTCGCTCATGTCGTGTGTTATTCTGTTCATAATTTTCATCTTCAGAGGCATCTGTACTTGAAACGTCCCCTATGTTACGCAAGGTCCGATGAGTCTGAAATGTAATAATACGAATTATATGTATAGTAATTAACTGAAAAATAGAAAAGTATGGATCATAATCATAGTCCTGAGTTAAAGTGAGTGATATTGAACTATTACATCAGCAACAACAACAACAAAAACAACAACAAAAGCAATAACAGCAGCATCAAGGTCTTAATTAGAACACTATTCTATTATTCTTTCAAATCTACTATTATTATTCAGCCATTTTGACGCTTATTCAGAGTTGGTTTTCTTTAGATCTTTATTTATTTTTTCTATAGTTCAAATGGAAAAATTACATACATATATACACAAGTAGCGCTTTATACTAATCTAAGTCGCCTAGTGGGAGGTTCAGAAAACTGCTGTATCTAATTGACTGACTCCTGGTGAATGGCGTTCAGTGCTTGTCTGTGCGCTCTGGAGTTTTGCGACAATTCCGGTCGTAAGCGGAGTGCAGGCTGTCCAGTGCCACTCCCAATAACTTTGGGTTGTTTACAGTCGGAATTTTTACGTCATCGACCCTCACACCTAGTTTAAGCTGTATTCATTCGTCCAGCTGGTGAAGAGGGCATCCGAGGATTTGGTTGGCTGTATTTTCAGTTATTGTGCAGAGAAGAAGTGAGAAAGATCGGCAAGGTAGTTCACTTTCGAACAGAGCTCATCAATATCCCGGCCAAACGCCATTATCGTTGAGGAAGGTGTTTCGAAATGCAATAATTTAACAGTAGCGGGGAGAGGACACCACCCTACGGAACCTCCTGTTTAATTTTTCTGGTTTTCGATGTTTCACCTCCGAATATTACCGATGATTGTCGACCACTCAGGTAGCCCATGACCCACCTCTGCAACCCCGGCGGTAATGAGAATTCCTCAATGTCCGTTAGTAGCACTGAATAGTTGACTGTGTCAAAAACTTTTGACAAATCAAGTGTTACTAGGACAATTCGCGCGCAGGGTCGATTTTTGTGTCTATGGCGTTTAGTGCTGTGGTGGTGCTGTGCACTTTTCGGAAGTTATCCTGATGTGCTGCTGGACGCAGATGGTGAGTGAACCCTCTCCTTTGTTGGCTGGTTTCCCCGGCTTGAGTAGCGGGACCACCCTGTCTGTTTTCCACACGTCAGGTATCATTAGGGTAGTCAGAGACAAATTGAGGACCTTAGTGAGAAATTCTGCTCCCTCTAGTCTGAGGTATTTCAACATCAGCATGCTTATTCCGTTAGGACCGATGGATTTGGAGGCTTTCGCCTTCCCGGTGACTCCCTGAACCTGTTCCCTGGAGAAATCGAGCACCGTGCTGGAGTTTGGCAGTTTGCGCATACGACGGGTTACACGTCGCTTCGCTTTATCTACAGAAGGATGCAGTGTAAAAAGTCGACTAAAATAGCTCGAGCATCTCTTCGGGCTCTACGAGGCGCGATCACCGAGTGTGCTCCTCCCACTTTTTCTGCTTATAGTTGTTGACTACTCTGCGATTCTTCGCGTTAGCTTTTAAAAGTTGACAAATGTCCGGTGATCCCCGGAAACAGGAGGCCTGTCAATCGAGATTTGTATGGGTACGTGGTCCGATGCTCACTGTCAGTACAGGTCGCCAGACTATACTCATTATCAGACCAGCACTCGCAATTGTTATATCCTGTGAGCTTTGGCAATCGTGTTATCGTTCATTGTGCAGAATGTCGAGACTCCATTCCTCTACGGTCGTTTGGCAGGCTAGAATTCCAAAGATCGTGGTGACCGTTAAAGTAAACCAAAACCAAACGATTTTCGACCCTGTGTAGCGCACCTATATTAGGGCTGTATCCAACTGGCAACTTGTAACCGGAGGAATGTATATATTAAATATCGGGGTTGGCATCGCCTGACCGGGTAACTATGCCCTGACATTCTAAGGTAGTAGCCCTGCGGTCGATGTCGCGATTATACGATACTGCACGGTGTTGTGTAGGATGAACGCTAAGCCCCACAATGGCCTCCCACGATCCTTGCGGATTATGTTGTATCAGGCCCGTCTCAGAAGATTTGAGTGGGCGATCAACTTCGTTTTCTGGATCGCAGCAATTGACAGGTGTTGCCGGCTCATGTAGTCGACTATCTCGTCGATCTTCCCCTGGAGTCCGTTGCAGTTAAATTGTAGGAGTCGGGTCTGTGTCGGGGGGTCTGTTGGTGTTGGTTGGCGGTATGTTTGTCGAAATAGGCGCGGGCACACTCCTACAGAATTAGGCAGCGTACGCATCGCTCCATTCACGGGAGTGATACGTGGATGGAGTATGTTGCTGCTGTAATGCACGCTGTTTGTCGAAATACGAGAGGGCAGACACCTACAGCATGTGGAAACGTACGAATCGCCACACTCACGGGTGGTGCGCAGGCCAGAGCATGTCCGAAAATGACATTAGCAAGAGTTGCATTTGACTGAGGTCGTGTTACGACGCAGGGAACATACTGTGCGAGAACTAGGAGCTGCTAGGTAGCCCTCGCACATGAGGATGAGGAGTTGGGGTTGATGGGAGTCATGCTGCAGGGAGCACCGTAAGACCGTAAAGGTCTGTTGGTTACCCAAAGTGGGTAAGTGTGCGGAAGGCGCTGTCGTGGAGGCTGGGCATGCGCTTAGACGCTGGCAGCCTGGGGCCACATGAATCTGAGTCCACTCCCTATGGGTTTTGAGACCTGAGCAGGTCTTAAGGTGACTCCAACCATTTCACTGGTTGCACCTGACCGGGGAGGAGGAGTGGTGGAATGGTTTCTGGCACACCCACCAAAAGTAATCCGCCAGCCCTGATAAGAAGGAATTGAAGCAACCCAGCTTAAATTAGTGTTACCTTGGCTTGAACGGGGTTTGGTCGTTAACAGGGTTACAACCCTGGGCCGGTACGTAGAATCGGATGTCCTAAGAGTTGGGCTGAGCTTTAGTCTTCAGCCGCAAACAGGCAAACAGCCAGGAAATTCGACATAGAACATAGTAAGAATGATGAGAGATATATTTTTCTAAAATTTTAACTTTTGGAATAAAAATATATTATAGTTTATAAGTTCTTTGTTTAAAAAAAATTATTTTCACTTAAGAATACCGTGCAAGGCGAAGCCGGTGATGGTCTCGTCTTGGCGGGCTTCGGGCGTATTTCGAAACATTACCCTGGAACGGGCATCCGTACATCGCTGTGTACAGCATATCTAATTACAACTCCTATGCAACAGCAAATTACTGGAAAACTATAAATTACCTCGGGAAAGTGCTTACATTGCTGAAATGAGTATGGCGTCCTCTAACTCCCCCTATTTCAAAGTGAAATTCTTTTTTAAATTTTATTTCTTTTTGATTAAACATCTGTAAAACGGATTAGAACAGAGGATGCTGAACGTGTGTATACATCGAAAAACGTGAGGAATGCATTAAAATAAGATTGGAACAAATAAGTATAAGAGTAGTAAAAAAACTGGTTGAATTAAAACTAAGAATCAGTAATAAGTCAAAAGACAAACTAACAAGATTCAAATATGCATTTAATTCAACTTCAAATTTTTTGAACTCAATCTTTTAAACGTCTTGGTCGACATTCTGGAACTTAAAAAGGCTGTTTTAGCTCAATTGTTGTTTAACTGGCTTAAACAAACAGAAAAATATGCCCTTGTTTATTTTTTTGTAATGAGAAATTAAAAAAAAAACTATTCTGAAAGTGGAAATTACGACAAAGATTGTTGCTGACTCCGAAAAGTGAATCTAAATAAGTAAATAATATAGACCCTAAGTGTAAATACCTTGTTAATTCTCAGAAAACTACCATGTTTTATTCGTGTTAGACGCATTAGCAAATCGTAGTGTTGTTCTACTCTTTTTAAACATGTTTCACAGATAGTTTTAGGCAGAGGATCCGTAGGAGAAATCTATGAAATGTAATCTTTGAATATTGTTTATACATGGCAAAGTTTTATTCATGAAACATACGGTAATAGGAAGATATCCGTTGATTTTTTCCACCAAACTTAATTTTCTGCCCTGATCACCATATATATGAATGACTGTACGATGCATTTCAGAGCAAAGTCGACAAAGAAAGCCAGATATACAAGCTCTGTCCATACTACCCATTTTTAATTGAAAACTTTACATTACAGTAAAAAAGAAATCTACAATTCTTTTCAAAAACGACTCAATAAAGAACATATACTGTGATAACTGCAACAGAAAAAAACTATGTGCAACAGAAAGCAAAATCGATAAGTGATAATGATTTTCCGATATAAGTAAGTACTTCGAAGTAATACAGCATCTCCACGGCATTGTGAATTACATTGTTCACAATTTGACAGTTGTTGTTTCGTTGGTTTACTTTTTTTAGGAGGAAATTTTTATTTACAGCCGCAGGAGTAAAATAATTGTATAGCAGTATTCTCAAGTGAAACACTTTGATTTTCACCCAGTCTTTTTTGCATTTGTTTTACTCATAATAGAATTTGTTAATGTTTATTTCAGTAGCGCGCTGATATATGTAAAATAAGTGAAATTAGTTATACAATAGCTTATTTAAACCTAGCACTTAAATGCATTTAAGGCCCCTGTTAAGTGAATGAAATGTCAAACGTTTTCCTCGAAAGTTAGATAATAGAACAAGCTGATTTTTGTTTACAATTGCAGTTTGCAAAATTTGTCAAAGGAATTTGAAATCATGAATTCAAGAAACCATATTCATTTTATTTGGCTATTTATGAAATATTATGATTGACAGCGCAGAATTTTAGTTTAGTAATGGCATGTTTCCATTTTCACTATTGGTTGTTGGTTCCTCCAACTATTTATTTTGCTCAATCAGCTGATAAGTGCCACAGCTACGCATATTTTTATGTTGAGAGGATCAAATAAATCCGAAAACACACTTCCGAAATGATTACATTAGTAGTGACGGCATCGACTGTTAACATAAAATCTTTTGTTAAATCACCGAAAGTGAGTTAACTCGCTTTGGAAAGTGATATAACATACTTTTGTACAACAATAAACTCATGGGAGTTCACGCATTCAAATAGACTGTTCCTACCCAATTAAGCCAAGATGCATTTAACCTCCGTTGGTAAAAGGTTTTTAATCAAGTGGAATTAATATTTGAGTTCGTTAAAAGGGAAATAAAGAAAAGTGAGTATTTCATAGCGAAATAATGTGATTAAGTAAACAATTTTTAACAACAAATAGCTCATAAGCTATTATACAATATATTTAAATTTCTATTGTTAAAATATTGGAAAAGATATACCCAACTGCATACTATGCAGTACATTGCATGACGAGCTCAAATTAAATTTCACTGCGCAGCATCAATGCTGCCAATGCAAAACTATAGTCTTAGAGGCACTGTATGGATGAGAACAAAAAAAATATGTCAGATATTGTTTGAGTATACAACTCTGCACCAAAGCCAGAATCTATACCCGGAGATGTCGCTGCCACTAGTACAAATACGTGAATCATCCCTATTGCCCCTACTTCATGTTGCCTGTCTCCAGAATTCAGGAATTCTGGCCCAACAATCCCGGTACGAATATTGGTCCTTCGAGCCGGATCCATAAGGCGATCTTAGCATTTCGTAGTTTTTGTGTTTTTAATTTTTTTTTAATTTTCTCAAAGTTTTTTTCTTTGGTGACTGAATTAGTTTATGAATTTATAACAGAACAAAAAAAATTGTCACATAAATAAATTTTTTTTTTACAGTACAAGTGAGTCGTTCAATAAATCAGGTAAAAAACGCAAAAAGTATGTGCCGGAAGTGGGAGTCCTCCTTGTGAAGTGAAGTAAGTATTGTGAAAAGAAACTGGGAGCGCCGGCGAAATTGCCACAAAATAAGGCGCCCAGCTGCATTAAAGTAAAAAGTGCAGTTCAAGAAAAAGTGAAGAGTGCAGAAACTTGGAGCACAGGCAAGAAAATTGCCATTAGGCAAGGCGCCCAGCTTCGTAAAAGCGAAACTGCACAAGAGTGGAATGCTTAAAAGTTAAAGGTGCAGTGCAAGAAAAAGTGAAGAGTGAAAAAGCTTGGAGCGCCGGCGAAAGCTGCCACAAAGCAAGGCGCCCAGCTCACCAAAGTGAAAGTGCTGTTCAAGTGTAAAGTGCAGAGATTGAGAGCACCAAAGAGAAAGCGTGTCGACTCCAGCTCCAGGCACCACAAGGTCATAGCTACAGGTCAAACGAGCAGCATATATACGGATTAAACGTGCAGTAAGGCATTACACTTAGGCCCAACGTGCAACAAGGTACCCGCACCCAGCCGAACAGTAAGCTATACAAGCAAATAGATGAGTTTCCACTCCACTTATCTTTAACCAAAATCTTTATTTTTATTTTTCGCGTACGTGGAGCATAATAAAATCGAATCGAAAATTTTAAAGTTTTGATTTGGCAAGCTGCACATAAAATCTCTGAAAAAAAAGGTTTATAAATATATAGACACACATATCTTTAGTGAGACATGGTGTGGCCTGTACTCCGGGAGTTCAGTAGTCACCACCATTCAAATATGTTTTAATCAAGCCCACCGTGTTAGCAACAAGGCTTTAGAAATGACAAATTTACATGATTTTTCGTGCGCGTGTGTTGCATTCCTGGGGTTTGAAGAACTGTATAACAACACTCCCAATGCTAGTCATTCGGTCTACTAGCTTGAGATTCAAAAAGACGAACTCAAGGCATTATGGCTAAAGGTAAAAGAACCATTCGATACTTATTCTCGAAGTTTATCTGAAGACGAATCGGGCGCCGCAGCCATGCGTTTAGCAAAATGTAGATATCAGAATTGCTATGTAGCATATCTGACGTGCGCGGCATTGATGGGAGAGACCATTGATAATCTGACATTCGTATAACAGACCTCGTCGACAGTAAATCCCGAACAAAGGGAAGTTGAACAGACTCAGCGACCCAATATTAATCTACCCCCATGCATTAACATTTCGCGACTAAGTCCGGTAGAGAAATTGTTTCATCAACGATCGGTAAATAATTGTATCTCAGTTCTTCGAATGTATATGTAGAACTGGGACGCGATATTTGTTTTCCTGCTATCAAGTAGACCGCCTGACAGTATCTGACATACAAAGTTCCAGATCGTCGAGGCCTTTGCTTAGCAAAACCACTGTGTCACAGCCTGACATACGAGATGCAGCCCATCTTGGTCAGTTCTCACAGATTGTTTGCAGATTGTGTTCTGATCAAGCTCACGTTTTAAAGAATTGCCTAGCATACTCCTATATAACAAGGGACTGCAAAAGTCCATTTAACTGTCTAAGTTGCCACCAAAGGCATCACTCTTTGTTACATCGCTTACCTAACAGAAACAAAAGCTCGACGCAGTCATCGCGGCTTTCTCCAGGAAATATGGAAAATCAATCTTCTCAGCCTCCAACTGGTTGCACCAATGTACAAGCGCTATTTGCCATAAGTGCCAAAAATGTAATTTTAGGAACAGCGATAATTAACGTATGTCATCAAAGAATGGACTATCAAGCCAGAACGCTTCTGGATTCCGAGTCTGAAGCTACGTTTATCACTGAACTGTTACAAAGACGCATCGGTATTCAATCACGCCTGTTGATACACTAGTGAGCGGAATAAGTGCGTCAGTAATGGCTAAGGTTCGAAAAGGTTCGATGCCAACTGCTTTAAGAGTCAACAGGTCGATGTAATTATTGGTGCATATTTGTATCCATCAGTGATCTTGAGAAACGTACAGAAAAATATTTTAAGTTCACTACTATCACAGGAAACGGTTTTCGAATGGATTTTGACTGGTCGTCTACTTCAATAACCTACTCAAGGACCGCACTATACGCCCTACTTCACGGAAATGTCAGAAGAGCAATTGACGCGATTCTGGAAATTGGAGGGAGTTCCAAATCGGAAAAAGCTGATAAATCAAGAGAAATCCTACTGCGAAGATCATTTCTGCAACACAAAAGCGAGAGATGGGGAAGATGCCACGGAGTCAGGCAGGAATTTACGACGGATGTAAACCTGGGATATACTCGCAACAGTGTAACCCAGCAGTTCTTCCGGAATGAGCCATCACTTCTTATGAGGGCAGAACTGAAGGCAGAATATGACAAAGTACTGGAGGAATATATAAGGCTTGGTCACATGGTAAGAATTGAGAGCTCAGGAGGTAGGCATCATGATACATATTATCTGCCTTACCATGCGGTCATCAAACCGATTTGCACTACTACTAGAGTGCGTGTGGTATTCAATGGAGTACGCCTAAACGATGTTCTTAAACCTAGACCAGTACTCCAAGCAGATCTCGTTTGTCTGCTGCTGAAGTGGAGGTTTTTTAAGTACGTCTTTAACGCAGACATCCGAAAAATGTACCGGCAGATACGGTTGTAGCGTGACAATACGCGTTATCAGAGAATCGTATTCAGAGGATCACATAATGAAGAGTTAATGGACTACGAACTCCTAACCGTAACGTTCGGTGTAAATTGCACTCCGTACTTGGCAATAAGAATGCTTCTCCAGTTGGCAGATGATGTCAGCACCCGCATTATATGTATGTGGATGATGTATTGGCAGGAGCTCATGACAGTGAAACAGCCATTCAAACTCGAGATGAGCTGGTCAACTCCCGTCAGCGCAAAAATTTCTATAAAAACTCTAAGCCCATTTTTCGATAAAAATGGGATTGTGAGAGTTGGAGGAAGACTTGCGCTCTTGAATTTGCCATACAGCCAGCGTTTTCCCGTTATTCTACCCTACCTCTAATGGTATGGCCGTGTATATGCCATTGGTAGTTGTATTCGTTAATCATGTACATCGGCATTTTGTGGTAATTGAAAGCTATTTGTCACAATCAAATCGGGTAGTTTCGATATGAAATCCAATATGGCAATATCGATTGAGATTATGTTTTTAACTTTCTCTTCGACTGCTTTTCCGCGATCTTGTACGGAAACTTTCTCCATCTTCTCCGTCCCGAATTCGGGATGTAGAAGGGAAATATGTCCTTGGATAGAAAATTGGGTTTGTATGTTTGCTGCCTTGACAATTGAATTAATTTCCTTCTGTGTGCCGGTAACATACATATAAATAGAGACTATTTATGGAAAGAATGGTCTTTTGCAACGTCTGTGGTATAACAGTTTCACTTATTATAATTATTATTATTATTATTATTTTTATGGAAATGGAGTTGTCAATTTTAGAACCCCACTACGGAGTTGT